TACAACCCCATATATATATATATTTTTTGGATAATTTTTAGCCCAGTAAAAAAATCATCCCGGACCCCATTAATATGCGTCCAACTCGCGTTTGAACGGGAGTTTAACGCGAATTCAACGCACGTTAAATTTTTCAACGCAAAACCCGCGTTAAATCCAATTTCGGACACTTACACTGGGATGCCCCCAGCTGTCCCTTAGGATGCCCCCACATAACATCCCCAGATCTCCGGCCAACGTTGTTCTGGCATGGAACAACCATGGTTTCTGAATATAATAGTCTAATTCCAGTGCAGCTTCGTACAAACCACCAGCAGTCCCTCAGAGTCATGAGAGATTCTTAACAAGGATGCTTAGTTTGAAAATTTCAGAAAGAATCTGAAAAAGTCCCAACCAAATACAAGCAAAGGATACAGAAATTCCCCCCTTTCCCCTCATCCCTCTGCCCCACCACTGCCTCCACCGAAAGAGATCGCCCCCCATCACGAACACTCCTCATCGGCCCCAACTTGGGATAGAAGGCGGTTTCCCCCCCCTTACTCCCACAAAGGCATCCAGTTCCCACCCAAAGTATACCTCTGCCAACCACTTGCCCTTATATGCCACCGCTGGGATATGATGCCGACCCATACATCTCCCCCAGCCATTAGAATAAAGCGTCCCCCAAAATCTGCCCCGTCTCCCTTCAGGGCAATCACCTCCCTCCTTGTGAAGCCCTTGCAGAGTAGAGCTCTCCCCCTCATAACCAACCCACCATCCCACCAGAAGTAATTTGTTTAAGCTTGAGAGGAGAATCAGAATTTATGACATTGTTGTGGACCATTGCCTACCCCTCCCCTCTATGTCCCCCTGTCCCTCCGCTGCCTCCACCGAAAAGGACTGCCCTTATCACAAGCTCTCCTTATCGGCCCCAACTTGGGAAATACCTGCTTCCTCCCCCTACGTCCACTAAGGCATCCAAATTCACCCAAAGTATGCCTCAGCCAACCCCTCACCCCTATCTGCCTCCACTCGGTTATGATGCCAGCCCATACATCTCTCCCAACCCTAGAATAGGGTATCCCCCAAAAATCTGGCCCCACTCCCTCCAGGTCATTTCAACTTTCACCTTGTGAAGCCCCTACGGAGTAGAGCTCTCCTCCTTAAAACCGCAACCCTCCACCCGAAAAAAAATAATTCAGTAGTGCGCCCAAAGGGGAACCAGAAATCTGTGTTGCACCCCGTACGTCGTACGGGGGTTCTGTAATACGGTCGTACGTACGGCCGTACGGACGGTCATACGGCCGTACGACCGGTCTCGTACAAAGTGACAAAAACCCTCCAAAAAAAAATGTAAAAAATATATATAAAAAAATGGGGATGCAAGGTTTTTCGTGCACTACATCCCCATATTTTTTATTTTATTTTTGTCTTTTTTTATATTTAAAAAAAAAAATAAAAAACATCAAAACGCAGAAAAGATTGATTGATTAATGGGGAAAAAAAAAAATGATACCGCAAAACTTTTTTTTTTTAATTAATTGATTGATTGATTGGTTGGTTGGGGGAGGGTCGCCCCCCCCCCCCCCCCCCCCCCCCCCCCCCCACACACACACGCACACACGCACATACTGTCATGCGTAGATTGGCAGACAATGATCACAAGAAAGTGAATGCAAATCGTTGTTGCGGTTGCTTGCCCCTCCCCGAGGCGAAATGACCTTTCTGTTGTTCATTTTGAAAAATGATGTATGGCGAAACGCATCCTCATTTCACACTTTTTGCCTTGCTATGTGGGTATGCATACATGCAAAACATTTCAAATATTTTGCTAATCCAGTGTATGACGTTCGTATATGAAATCTTGGCATGCATTCACATCAAGTGATGTTCAACAAACCAAATCTCAGATATCGTGTTCGTTTCGTCATTGCGTCCTGTGTGTCTATTCAACGTGCAACGAAAAAGTTTCAACTCCGTTGTACCTATGAATCTCCTTCGGCGCCGGCCATCCGCGGCCGAATCCGCGGACGCGGCCAGTCAGCTGACTCCGCAGACGCGTCCGCGCGGCTTTGGAGCCATGTGACGGTCGCGAGGGAGACACTTTCGAAAATCTAGAGACGCCACGTGGCGCCGCATCCCCGGCCCCACCCCACCACACAAAACAAAACGGAAAAAGATCAACTTTTGGATTGTGGGGTATGGGCGAAATCAAACGAAATTGAGAAAATAAAATAAAAACGCGTTTTTTTTTTTGTTTTGTTTTTTTTTTTTCGTTCATTGGTTGATTGATTGATTGATTGATTGATTGGTGGGGGCGGGGTCGCCCCGCCCCGCCTTTGATTGCTTGAATGATTGATTGATTGATTGATTGATTAGTTTCGTCGATTTTTTTTTTTTTCTTTGATTGATTGATTGATTGACTGGTGGGGAAGGGGTCTCCCCCCCGCGATTGATTGATTAATTGATTAATTGATTTCTTTAATTTTTTATTCGATCTTTTTTTTTTTTTTTTTTTTTTTTGATTGATTGATTGATTGATTGACTGATTGATTGATTGATTGGTGGGGGAGGGGTCGCCACACCCCCGTGACCACGGGCGCGCACACACACACACACACACACACACAATCGCGCGGCACACACGCGCGCCACGGACGGCACACAAACACACGCGCGACACACACACGCACACACACACACACGCACACGCACACACAGAGAGAGAGAGAGAGTAGTGTGGGGGGAGGGCGGGGAGAGAGAGAGAAAGAGAGAGAGAGAGAGAGAGAGTGTGTGTGTGTGTGTGTGTGTGTGAGTGTGTGTGTGTGCGCGCGTGTGTGTGTGTGTGTGCGCGTGTGTGTATGTGTGTGT